AAAGGAGGAGCTGGAGCCCAGCACCAGCAATCCTGTAGGATTAATCCTAGCTAAGAACAGGACTGTAGTTCAAGATCAGCCTAAGCAGAAAAACTTATGACATCCCCATCTTAATGCATAGGTGGACACAGTGGCATGAATCTGACATCCTAGCTTCCTTTGGCAGGAAAGTCCATGATACTCTTTTTTTTTTTTTTCTTTTTAGTCATGGGGCTTGAACTCTGGGCCTGGGTACTACTGTACCTCAGCTCTTCAGCTCAAGGCAAGTGCTCTACCATTTGAGCCACAGGCATGTCTGGTTTTCTGGTGGTTCATTGGAGATGAGAGTCTCACAGATTTTCCTACCTGGGCTGGCTTTGAACCATGATCCTCAGATCTCAGCCTCCTGAGTAGCTAAGATTACAAGGTGAGCCACCAGCACCTGGTTTTCCATGACACTCTTATCTCCAATAAACTACTCAGAAAAAAGCTGGAAGTGGTCCTGTGGCTCAAGTGGTAGAGTGCTAGCCTGGAGCAAAAAGAAGCTCATGGACAGAGACCAGGCCCAGAGTTCAAGCCTCAGGACTGGCAAAAAAAAAAAAAAAGTATATATACATATTTAAATATATATATATAGAGAGAGAGAGGGAGAGAGAGAGGCTAGAAGACCTGAATCATTTTTCCCTGCTGAGGAGCTTATAGGAAATGTATCACAAAATCTGGGATCAATTTCTTAATTTTCAGAAGGATCTGAATCCCCAATAATTTAGAAGATAGCTAGAACTACAGCTTTTCCAGAAGTAAAATTAGAATATAGGTCTTCTGACTCCAGAATCAGTGCTCTGCTCATGGACATCATAAAAGTTTCATGGTTCTGCTTCTCTAATTAAAAGAGAGGAGTGGACAACTTGGGTCAGAAGAATGAAATGCCTTTTGGAGATTTTTGGAGATTCTGAACCCCAAGGCTAGAGGGTTATTACAATGACCTTTTCATTTCTTTTCTTGTTTGTGTTTTTTGAGACAAGGTACAGGTTATATGTCCAGGCTGGCCTCAAATTTACAATCCTGCCTCAGCATCTTGAGTGCTAGGATTATGGGCATAAGCCACTCTGACTAGTTTAGGCTTACTGTGACCATTTCTTATTATCTTTCCTGACCATATTCAGGACAGAAGTTTGTCTCAACCAGGAAAAGCCCCAAATGTTAATATAATTGCTGGTTATTACTGCTGTTAAGGAGCAAAACATTTATTTGTAAATAAAGCCAAGGAGAGAAACAACGGGAAATGTGTCTTAAAAAAATACATCAGGTGAGTGGGTCCCCATCTCCTTTGCTGGCATTCTAGTTTGTAGGAATTTCTAAACCTCGCTGTAATATACCTTACACTTGCCAGGAGATTCATCATATAGACCTTTCTGGCATATTGTCCTTTACAGGCTTGAAAACCTTCACTAGCTCTCCATTATCTGCCATTTAAGCATTTGTTTATTTTGATATTCAAGGCCTTGCAAAATGGACTTCTCACTCTATTTCTCTCTATTCTCCTTCCCTCTATTATTCTTCTCCTCCTCCTGCTCCTCCTCCTCCTTCTGTTCCTCCTCCTCCTTCCTCTTCTTTTTTTTTTTTTTGCCAGTCCTGGGACTTGAACTCAAGGCCTGAGTACTATCCTTGAGCTTCTTTTGCTCAAGGCTAGTACCTACCACTTGAGCCACAGCGCCATTTCCAGCTTTTATTTTGTTTATATGGTACTGAGGAATTGAACCCAGTGCTTCATGCATGCTAGGCAAGCACTCTACCACTAAGCCACATTCCCAGCTCTTCCCTCTATTCTTCTTTGCTCAATCTATAGACTTTCCTTCCATTTCTTTCAAACATTTTTTCTGACCCTGGGTTATTAGACATTTTCTTGTTCTTTCCTCTTTCTCTTTTATCTACTTATTTTCTCAAGGTCCAGACTTGTTCAGAAGGTAAGCATTTCACTTGTGCCAGTTAGCATTTATCATACTCTTCCTTAGTCTTGTAGATTATTTCTTTTTTTTGGGGGGGGGGGGGGCGGTTCCGGTCGTGGGGCCTGAACTCTGGGCCTGGGTGCCGTCCTCAGCTCTTCAGCTCAAGGCTAGTGCTCTACCACTTGAGCCACAGCATCACTTCCGGCTTTTTTTTCTGCTTATGTGGTGCTAAGGAATCAAACCCAGGGCCTCAGGCATGCAAGGCAAGCGCTCTACCACTGACCACCATCCCAGCCCTTGCAGATTATTTCAACAACTCCAAACCTTGATTACAAAATTTCCAGCCTCAAAGACAGAATTATACTTCTCTTTGGCAGGTTCAGCAATCTAGTGACTAAAGTTGTCTAACTCAACTCCTTCACATACCTGCTCGCTCCTTCCTTCCTTCCTTCTTTCCTTCCTTCCTTCCTTCCTTCCTTCTTTCCTTCCTCCCTCCCTCTCTCCCTCCCTCCTCTTCTCTCTTTCTCTCTCTTTCCTCTCTCTCTCTCTTCTTTCTTTTTTTGTCATGGGGCTTGAACTCTGAGCCTGGATGTTATCCCTCAGCTCTTAGGCTCAAGGCTAGAGCTCTACCAATTGAGTTACAGTACCACTTCCGGTTTTCTGGTAGTTAATTGGAGATAGTCTCATGGAGGGCTGGGAAGGTGGCTCAGGGGTAGAGTGCTTGCCTTGCATGCATGGGGCCCTGGGTTCAATTCCTCAGAACCACATAAGTAGAAAAACCCAGAAGTGGTGCTGTTGCTCAAAGTGTTGGAGCACTACCCTTGAGCTAAAGAGCTGAGGGACAGCGCCCAGGCCCACAGTTCAGGTTCCACAACCTACAAAAACAAAACAAAACAAAAAAACAAAACAAAAAGAGTCTCATGGACTTTCCTGCCCAGGTTGGCTTCGAACCGTGATCTCAGCCTCCTGAGTAGCTAGGATTACAGGCATGAGCCACCAGCGCCTGGCCTGTTCTTCTTTTGCTATGTTTACAAATTGGACAAATTTTCCAAAATGGAAACTTTTTTTCTTGACAGTCCTGGAACTTGAACACAGGGCCTGGGTGCTATCACTGAACTTCTTTGTGCTCAAGGCTAGAGCTCTACAACTTGATCCACAAAGCCACTTCTGGCTTTTTTTTTTTTTTGGGGGGGTAGTTTATTGGAGACAAGAGTCTCACACATTTTCCTGCCTGGGCTGGCTTTGAACTGCAATCCTCAGATCTTAGCCTCCTCAATAGCTAGGATTACAGGCTTGAGCCACCTTCACTCCGATTGGAAACATGTGTTGACATGGTTAACTTCATCTCTAGGGCCTGATGACCACGTCCTTCTGAGACAGAGTGCTTCCTCAAAAAACAGATCAAGACAGTGACTCAGGTGCTCTTGTATTTTCCTTATAGCTTGCCATTGGTAGGGCAGGGTAACTACCCTACTTTGATTTACTACAAATACAATAAGTAGTTACAGGGTTACCTAGGAGAATTTAGTCACTTTCACTTTTCCAATATCTGGATCTATTCAACAATCCCGTAATTAAAAAGAAAAAAAATCTCTGTATAAAATTACCCCAGTGGTCTGGGGATAAATAGACCACTTCTATCTCTACACTCACCACACCTTTTCTTGTGGTTCCTCCCTAGGCCCTGAGCCGGTTGGTTGGCTCTATTCCTGGTAGACAACTTCCTTTGGAATGTGGAGACTTTGCAACCGAGTTTATAACAGGTAGGTGGACTTTCCCCTCCTGGGCCCACACCCAGCTTCTGAAGGCTGAAGAGGGTAGAGGGGGAGGAGGAGGAGGAGGAAATGAGTTCCAAGGCACCCAACAGCTGGCTGCACTGAAGATTTCTTGCAACAAATATTTATTGAACAAATTAATGAGAGAAATATTTAGAGCCCCAGCAAGGCAAGCCAAGTCAATCACTTTTTAATTTTTTTTTCAACAGTGTACACTAGAAGCCACCTGTCATGTTTAACTGCAGCTGGTGTGACCCTAGTGCCCCCAGATTCTGCTTTTTTCTGGGAACTGGGATCGGTATCTTCTTGAAAGGCTTTTCAGGACAGGTAGATTTATGTTCCCGGGTTGCGTTCCCTTCTACTTAGAATCAAAGTCATCCCAATGCCTGTAAATTTATATTCTCAGTTCCTATCGTCCTATCCTAATATATTCTGGACCCCGTTGTCGGCATTTAGGATGAAGCAAACAAGATCCTCGCCCTGGAGGAGTTTATCATAGGATGGGAGACAAATGATGAAAGTGTAAAAAATCCCAGAACACTGAAGTTGGGTGATGAATATCACCAAAGGAAGAGATGACAGGCTGGGAAATGTGGAGGCCAGGGGATGGGAGAAGAGAACCAAGACTGGGGATCCGGTTTGGTTTTGGGGTGGGGGTAGAAGAGGGTACGAGCTGAGCTGCAGGAGGCGTTGATGTCGGCGGTGGGATAACCGGGATGTTTTCTGCAGAAAAAAATCTGGCTTATGCGGAGGAAGATGAAGGGCAGCAAGGGCTCCGAACGGGGATTCGGACTGCGAAACCCGCGGTGGGAGGCTCTCGCACCGCACAGCCGAGGTGATGCTCTAACTGCAGTGGTACCGAGGCTCCATCTAGGGGGGCGGGGTGCCCACAGACTGTCAGCCACTACGCCCCCAAAATGGCCTCCGATGCCCCTCACCGCCCCGCCCCAGCACTTTGCAGCCTGCCGGCCCACGTGACCCGGCCGCCTCTCCCGCCCACCCGGCTCGAGACCCCAGGTCTGGGTCCCCTCCGCGGCGGAGGCCCCGCCCCCCAGGGAAATGGACCAATCGGAGGAGGAGGAAGGCGGGGACAGGTGCTGACGTCAAATGGAGGCGGGGCTCCGGAGGGGAGTAACAGGTTGGTGGGAGGGGGAGAAGGGAGGGAGCACCGAGGGACCGAGGGGGAGGGCCCGGGAGCCGCGCGTGCAGCTCTGCCAGAGCCCGATCCTGAGCCCGAGCCCGGAGCCGCGAGCCCGGGAGCGCTGAGCCCGGCTGGGGTGAGTGACTGGACTGAGGCAAGGGCACTTGAGATGACCGTGGAACCCCAGGTGGATCTGTGAGGGGCAGGAGTGGAGGCGATCAGAGATAACCCCTACTTGGGCACCGGTGCAGATGTGGAGAGGGGAAGAGGGAAGGTCAGGGTTTGGTGGCAGAACTACGAGCTTGGTCCCTACTCTTAAGATGCCCGAAGCAGGTGGCTGAGGAGGAGCCAGGCGTGAGGCATCTGAAGGTAAGACTATTCCCAGGGCACGAAGGCGTCTCAGCGCCAGGGTATCTCTGGAGGTCAGACGCCAGCCCTAGGGGCGGAATTTCTCCTGGAGACCGGAGTGGTGGGGGAAAGGAGTTGGTCTCAGCTGGGCAAAGGGAGGTTCCGAGGAACAGTGGATGGCATCGGCAGGTGCTGCTTTTCTAAGGTGCCTTCCCCTGGCTGGCCACTGACACCTCCTTTCTGGCGTGGGCTCTTTCTCCGCTCTGACTATGCGTCTACAGGTGCAGTCAGATGAGAAACACTAGTGAAGGGCAGAAGAGGGCAAGCCTATGGCTTTGCTAGGTGTGAAACTACTAGGGTTTTCTGTTTCTGTCTTTGTTTTCATGGCAGGGAGAAATTTTCCAGAGTCGGGGTGGGGGCGGGGAGGGTGAGTGAGGCTGGGGAGGGGAGCTTTAAGAGTAAGGGGTGTAGAGAGAGGAAAAAATACAGCTGTGGGAATATTTATTTCTCCTAGTCGTCTTTCCAGGGCCTAATACCAAACCCTTCTTTGGTTCTAGACGGGAGCCAATGGGGTGTAAGGTTTGGGAGCCCAATCAATTATGTCTCCCAGGATCTCTTCACTTGGAGAAACTTCATCAGGCATCTTTCACTCTTGATCCTTGCTGGCTTTTAGATTGGCAATAGGCTATACTGGTACAGGAAATAGGCAGAACTCCCAAGGAGACCACAAGACTAGGGGAATTACCACCTCCCAATCCCCAGGCCAGATGAGAGGTGTGCATTGGGGCCAGACAAGACTTCTGAGGCAAATTTCCTTGCCTTAGGCAGCTATGGAACCAGCGCCAACCTGAGTTTGGCCCCTTTGATGCCCTGCCTGAGTATAGTTGCTGTAATTGGGAAATAATTAGCAACCGCTATGTCTGTAGACATGCTGCCTATGCATACCAGGGTACCTCTTCTTTCATCCTGAATATTTAAGGGTAGGGGTCTGGCTTTGGGGGCCTGATAATCCAGAGATTTGCTGCCTGACTCTAAGAGGATTTTGGCTTCCTGTGGTTCCCAGGCTGCTGCAGGCTATTACTCTTGTGGGAGGGGAGGCAGAGGGGGGGTTCTCTTTGTACCAGGGAGGGGAAAACTAAGGGCCTGGGAGGTGGCCAAGGTAAGTGGGATTAGGAATGTAACTTTGGAAACTTGGGAGGGTGTGGTGAAGGTAGACGAAGTCATCCTGTCACCCATTGGTCTGTACTCACCGAAGTTCTTTGTTCATCTGCTGCACTTGTCTCTTCCCTGCCCAACCTTCTGCCTCCTTCAGAGCCTTGGTTTTGGCATCCAGGCTGGATAGTGCCCCTACTCATGGTCTTGCCCCTCTGCCTGCTCTGGCGTGGAATCTCTGGTCTTCTTTACAAGCTGCCAGTGTAGTTTCCCTGGCCCTCCCTTTCCCTTTGCCTCTCAAACCAGTCTAGCCAGTTTGCAGAGGTCCTGTTCTTCATTGTGTTCTGCCCCCCCCCCCCCCCATTGGCCAAGCAGCTCCAGCTTGGCTCTCAGGTTTCTGCTTTTTCTGTGGACTTAGCCAGGAGTTCACTTGGGGGGGTCTATTTGGACCTACAAGGAATCATCTTATCTCCCTATGAAAAAGGGAGCCAGCCAAGTGACCAAGGTCACTAAGCTGTCCTTTTCGGTCTTCGCTGTTTGCTTTTCTCATTTCCACCAAGGGGGATCTAATCTCTATTCCCTTAGTTCTCTCCTTTTTTTTTTCTAAATGTGCCTGTTATTTAGCACCTAGCATATTGCCTGGCTCTGAGTGTCCTTCTGAAGCCACCCCACCCCCACTTCCTGCCAGAAGTCCAGGGGCCCTGTCACTCCTAGTTGGAAGCCAGATGCATATGGCTGGGCCAGAGGTGATGGAATTGGGGCAAGGCAGGCTAATGAATAACTCAGGGAGAAGTCAGTGGATGTCTGGTACAGGTGTAGTGTGCCCTTCCCTTCCTCACAAGCAGGAATGGCAGAGATAAAACAGATAAGGCTTAATTCACTTGTGTCCTGGTCTCTTCTCAGAGTACATTTGGTCAGAAGAGCCCTGGGCATGTATCAGGAGAGGGAAAAGCAGGGTCAGGCAGGCTTTAGACTCCTAGTTGTGGACCCAGATTGTTGTTTACCTGCCTTTGGGGCTTACGCAAGGCCTTGAGCTGCCCTGTTCCTTTGGCCCCGCCCCACTGTCCTCTGTAACTGAAGGCGGGTAGGTTTCGGGTTTTCCATGTTGAATCATTTAGAACCTTGCTTTCTGACCCACCCCAAAGATCCCTCAGTCCTCCTGGCCTCTGACACCTATGTCTTGGTACTGAAGGTGATTGAGATTGGGGTGTCATTGGGACTTGAGGGAGCATTCAATACCATATCTGTGCAACTTAGAACACTCATCCAAGGAGCTGTACACCTTGCTGGGCCAAGGCAGGAACTATTTGACCTGAATCTGGAAGATCTGTAGAGATACTGACAGGGCAGAACTGTGTCATGAATAAATCATGTGACTTCTGAGGGCTGGCAGTCTAGGCACATCTGATTCTAATATCACAACTGTGTAGGGCAATCCAGACCAGGATGACAGACTAGTTACTAGGATAAAAGAGAAATATTGTGAACAATCTGTGACAATCTTCCTGCCCTTGCTGCTGGAGATGCCTTTGTTCCTGATACAATCTTCATTAAGGACTTACTCACATCTTCCATGTGCCAGGCACTGGAGTTAGCTGAGACCCATAGTTTTTGTCATCTATGAGTTTATAGTTTAATGGGGGAGATGGATAATAATCACTCCAATAAATGCATAACGACAAAATGAGGTAAACCCATCAAAGGGTAACTGAAAAGCATAGGTAGATCTGACCTATTGAGTAGAAGGGCCTGGTCAGGAAGGCTTCTCAGAGGAAGTGCTATCTAAAGGAATGGCTTGTGTTAGTGGTGACACTTGTGAGATTTTGTGACAGGAGTATGTATGCATGTATTTTATTTTATTTATTTTTTGTCAGTCCTGAGACTTGAACTCAGGGCCTGGGCACTGTCCCTGAGCTACTTTTGCTCAAGGCTAGCGCTCTACCTCTTGAGCCACAGTGTCATTTCCAGCTTTTTCTGCTTATGTGGTATGAGGAATCCCAACCCAGAGATTCATACTTACTAGGCAAACACTCTACCACTAAGCCACATTCCCAGCCCTGTATTTGTTTTTGTGCCAGTACTGGCGCTTAAATTCAGGGCTCACATTCTCATTTGGCTTTTTTGCTCAAGGCTGCCACTTTAGCCATACCTCTACTTCCTGCTTTTTGGTGGTTTCTTGGAGAATAGAATCTCACAGACGTCTGCCTGCTCTGGTTTTGAACTGTTCCTCAGATCTCAGCCTTCTGAGTAGTTAGAATTACAGATGTGAGTTACTAGCAAACGGCATGTGACAGGGATTTTATGTTTAATATCTTTACTCCACTGTTGGTTGAAGTCAAACCTAAGTACAATAAGGTTATTATAAAATAAGTATATTTTAAAACTATAGTTTGGTAACTTCTTGTATACATAGTGTAATTATCTAATTCTCACAGGTAATTACCTTGTGAGTTAGTATATCCATTTTACTGATGAGGAAACTGATGCTCAGAAGAATTGTACTTTGCTCAGGTTATATACATCAAGTAAAGAACAGATTAGAATTTTCTGAGTCAGATCCTAATTTCTTTTCTTACTCATGATTTCTGGAATGAATTTACCTCTTGTTGTCACAAATTTTTTTTTTTTTTTTGTTGGTCGTGGAGCTTGAACTCTGGGCCTGGGTGCTGTCCCTGAGCTCTTCAGCTCAAGGCTAGCACTCTACCACTTGAGCCACAGCGCCACTTCTGGTTTCCTGGTTGTTAATTGGAAATAAGAGACTCATGGACATTTCTTCCTGGGCTGGCTTTGAATCATGATCCTCAGATCTCAGCCTCCTGAATAGCAAGGATTACAGGTGTGAGCCACTGGCACCCGGCTTTGTTGTCACAAACTTTGTAAGATTTGGTAGTAAAATTTTGGCTCCAGGGCCCAAAAGGTGAACCAGCAGCTCCTAATAAAGAAGGGGAAGGGGGAGTTTTCCTTTCTCTTGAGGGAAGAGCAGGAATGCTAAGGATGCTGTTCCTCTACCTCCATTTCTCAGCTGGAACCCTTTCTTTCCATTCTAAATTCTGCCTTTCCTATTCCCTCCCCTCCCCAATCAGCTCACCTTGGTTACCTGGCTTCTGAGAGCTTCTATAATCCTGTGAAAAGGGACCTTGCCAAGTTTCCTTGGCCCAGAACTCCACAGGGAAGTTGAGTTGGGCATGTTTGTTTTCCTGTTTGGCATGCTAGAGACTCCTCCTCTAGTTTGATGCTGGGCTCTGATGGAGACTTAACACACTAGCTGAAGGGGTGGGGAAAGTTCCTAGAGCCAGAGCGTACCTGAAACACATTCCATTTGCTGACTCTAATCCTAGGTAATGTGGACTAGTGAGTCAGCCTGTGGATATTTTTTTTTTCATTTTATTTTTTTTTGTGAACATACTGTACAGAAGGGTTACAATTACATGGGCAAGATAATGCGTACATTTCTTATCAAGCATTGCAGCCTCCTCCTTTGTTTACCCTTCACATCCCTTCCCAGCCCCCCCCAGCCTGTGGATATTTTTTGTCCTGGCCCCCAGGTGGGAAGGCCCTATGTTTTCTGGGGCCCCTTGGATAGATGCATTTAAAATCGTATTTAAGTTCTTCTCCCTCTCTCCCTCCTCCCTCTATTTCTTGCTGTCTGCAGCACTAGAGATTAAACTTTGGGTCTTTCACATGCTGAGCAAGTGCTGACCACTTGAGCTACATCCCTAGCCCTAAATCTTTCTTTGAATAGGTAATATATGTACTTGATTCCAAATTAAAAAGACACAGAAGGAGGGTGTAACAATGTTCAATAGGAAATGTACTCATTACCTTACTCATATAACTGTAACCCTTCTGTACAGTATCTTAAAAAATATATGCTAGGGCTGGGAAAGTGGCTCAGTGGTAGAGTGCTTGACTTGCATGCATGAGGCCTTGGGTTCGATTCCTCAGCACCACATAATCAAAAAGAAAAAAGCCAGAAGTGGCGCTGTGGCTCAAGTGGTAGAGCGCTAGCCTTGAGCTGAAGAGCTGAGGGACAGCGCCCAGGCCCAGAGTTCAGGCCCCACGATGGGACCCGCCCCCCCCCCCCAAAATATATATGTTAAAAAAAAGACATACAAAAGTACCCTGTAGAAAGTCCATCCCTGCCGGGCTCTGGTAGATCACACCTGTAATCGTAACTACAGGCTGAGTTCTCAGGATCATGGTTCAAAGTCAGCCTGGGCAGGAAAGGCTGTGAGACTCTTATCTCCAATAAAACACCAGAAAACCAGACGTGGTGCTATGGATCAAGTGGTAGAGTGACAGCCATTACTGAAGAGCTGAAAGATAGTGCCAGGCCCAGAGTTCAAGACCCATGACCGACAAAAAAAGAAAGAAAGAAAGGAAGAAAGAAAGAGAGAAAAAAAGAGAGAAAGAAAGTCAGTCCATCCTTTTCTATTCTCCCAGAGAATATCTCTAGCTTTTAGTTTCCTCATCCCAGAGACAGCACTGCTGTTAGTTTGAATGTCTTCTCAGAAATGGGACAACTTATTTTCTGTTCTTCTATATTTTATTTGTTTTGTTTTTTGTTTTTGGGTCCAGTCGTGGTGCCTGAACTCTGGGCCTGGGCGCTGTCCCTCAGCTCTTCAGCTCAAGGCTAGCACTCTACCATTTGAGCCACAGCGCCACTTCCGGCTTTTTTCTTATGTGGTGCTGAGGAATCGAACCCAGGGCCTCATGTATGCAAGGCAAGCGCTCTACCACTGAGCCACCTTCCCAGCCCTGTTCTTCTATATTTTAAATGAGCCCTCTTTTCTCCAGTGAGAGAAGTATCTGATAGGCAGGGCATGAGGTCTGTGCTTTCCTCATATTATATGTATGAAGATCAAATGAAAGATTTTTTTTTTTTTTGTCGGTTATGAGCTTGAACTCTGGGCTTGACTTCAGCTCTACCACTTGAGCCACAGCACCACTTCGGTTTTCTGATGGTTAATTGGAGATAAGAATCTCACAGCCTTTCCTGCCCTGACTGGCTTTGAATGGTGATCTTCAGATCTCAGCCTCCTGAGTAGCTAGGATTCCAGGCATAAACCACCGGCACCCCGCCAAATGAAAGCTTTGTGTGTGTGTGTGTGTGTGTGTGTGTGTGTGTGTGTGTACACACGCATGCACGTGCATGCACACCAGTATTGGAGTATGAATTCTCAAATTCTCATTCTCTCTCTTGGCAGTTTTTTTCCCCCCAGGCTTGCCATCTACCTCTTAAGTCACACCTGAACCTGTGACTTTTGTTTTGTTTTGTTTTGTCAGTCATGGGGCTTGAACTCTGGGCCTGAGCACTGTCCCTCAGCTCTTCAACTCAAGGTGAGCGCTCTACCACTTGAGCTACAGTGCCACTTCTGGTGGTTTATTGGAGATAGGAGTCTCACAGTCTTTCCTGCCTGGGCTGGCTTTGAACAGCGATCCTCAGATCTCAGCCTCCTGAGTAGCTAGGATTACAGGCGTGAGCCACCAGCACCCAGCACACTTGTGACTTTTTGGTGGTTAATTGGAGATTAGACTGAAATTTATCCAGGCTTTTCTGCTTGTGTGGTGCTGAGGAATCGAACCCAGGGCCTCATGCATGCAAGGCAAGCACTCTACCACTGAGCCACCACCCCAGCCCGGAAATAGATTCTTCTTGGTGTGTTATGTGTTTGTTACCCTTCCCTGCTCCTGTTTAACCAAAGCTAGCAAGTACTCTACCACTGAGCTAATGTTATCTGGACCAAAGTACCAACAGCATTGCTCAAGAGAACTTGGTGAGAAACATAAAATCTCAGATCCCAGTCTAGACTCTATTGAATTAGAAACTGATGACAGGGTCTCACATCTCATTTCTGCTACTCACATGAAGTATGAGAATCCTGGTGCTATGTAGAAGGGACTGACAAGACTTCCACTAGAGCGGGAGGATGGAAGTTTCTGGGTTTCTATATTAAGTTTCTTAGCTAAAACCCTTCCCTTTGTCTTCTAGGGTCCCCCCACCGTCCATGGAATAGGCATTCGCCATGGCTGAGCCCCGAGGCCCTGTAGACCATGGAGTTCAGATTCGCTTCATCACAGAGCCAGAGGGTGCTACAGAGAAGTCCACACTACGCCGTGGTGCGCGACGCCCTGCTAAGGATGCAAGAGCCAGTAGCTATGGGGTTGCTGTACGTGTGCAGGGCATCGCTGGACAGCCTTTTGTGGTGCTTAACAGTGGAGAGAAAGGGGGTGACTCCTTTGGGGTCCAAATCAAGGGGGACAACAGCAAAGGAACCCCAGGAACTCTGAGCTCTGATTCGGAACTCCCTGAAAACCCCTACTCTCAGGTGCAGGGGTCATCTGCCCCCTCCCAGGGCAGCACGTCTGATGAGGAGCTTGGGGCTCGTTGGAATAGAAGACTGCTCCGTTCCCAGTCACAGGCTTCACTGGCAGGCCCTACCCCTATAGGGCCTAACAATAGGAGTTCCAGCTTGCTGGAGCTAGCCCCTCCAGAGCCTTCCCCAGGTAATACCATTGACACTGCTCCCCTGTCTTCAGTGGATTCACTCATCAGCAAGTTCAACCATCAAGTGGGGGGTCAGGTCAGGGGTCGGACTGGTCGTCGCACACGGACCCTGCCGCATGAACAGCGGAAGCGGAGCCAGAGCCTGGACAGCCGGCCCCCACAAGACACCCTTGTGGAACGGGAACCACAGTCCACCAAACACTGGACCCCTAGTAAGAATGACAGCCCTGTGGACAATTCAAAACAGCCACTGCCACTTCAGAGCAAGAGCCCTTTGGGTGCTTTCAGCCGCTCCCGTCAGACTCAGGACTGGGTCCTTAAGAGTTTTGAGGAGCCACAGGAGAAAGCACAGGATCCTGCTGTGCTGCAGGTCAGATTCCATCCCTCCCTATTTCCAACCCTTCAGCTCATCTCCCACCCTGACCTGTCAACCCTGAGGCTCCACTAATTCAAATAACCTAGGGCAGAAAAGTCTTGACCATTTGCTCTCCTTGTTATCCACCAAGTAGAAGGTATTCACAAGCAAAGAAGTTCCCTGGGTAAAATGCTAAAGAGAACTATGAACTCACCATTAACAGATGTGCAGTTACTTGTTTTTGCCCTAGCCATTAGCTAGCAAATGCTCATTTGTTCAGTGCACAATCCTCATAAAGAAGACTCGATGCTCTAGCCAAAATTCTATGCCTTTCTCTCTGTCTCAGGAGTGCAGGTAAGTGAGAGAGCAACTTTACTTTGAGACAAACTTAAGTCCATTCTGAAAGTAAATCATTTATGAATATATGAATATGGTACATCAACTGTCACAGTGGCAAATGCTTTGTGACACAGCCCACAGCTGGTTGAGATCTGCTTATTGAAGAAAATCTGGTTCAGAGTAACAATTTAGAGGGGATGAGGCCTGTTGCTCAGGCCTTATCAGCGAAGTTCATCATGCCGAGAGGTGACCTCATCTCCTTGATGCCACCTCTATTTCCCTCCCTCCTTTCTTCTCCCTCCTCTTCCTTTCTCCCCTTCTATATTCTCTCCTCTTCTTCCCTCCTTCCTTCCCCCACTTTCTCCCCTTTTCCCCTCTCTTTTTCCCTCTTTCCCTCCTTTACTTTTTTCCTCCTTTCTTCCCTGGTGGTCTTGGAGTTTGAACTAAGTGTCATGCCTGCCAGGCAAGTAGGCAAGTGATTGATCACTTGAGCCACATTCTCAACCCTTTTTGCTATTTGCTATGGTTTTTTTTTTTTAATTTTTTTTTTTAGATAGGGTCTTGTGATTTTCCTGGGGATAACCTGCATGCCTCACCTTACTCAGCTCTCTCTTCTTACAATAATTGTTTTTGCAGTTGAAATCAACTCCAGACCTTCTCCGAGATCAGCAGGAGACAGCCCCACCAGACAGTATGGACCATGTGAAGGCCACCATCTTTGGCATTCTGAGGGAAGGGTGAGTGGGGCCTGCTCGGTCACTTTTCTTTTTCATTGTCTCCATTTTACTTGTTTTTTTCCTTTTCCTTATCTCTTTTGCCTCTCTCCTCCCCTCCCCTTCGCTTCTGCCCTTCTGTCTTCTAGAAGCTCGGAAAGTGAGGCTTCTGTGAGGAGGAAGGTTAGTTTGGTGCTGGAGCAGATGCAGCCTCTCTCGGTAAGTGACCTTCCCTTGGTAGGAACAAGGGTGAAGGTTTGGATCTTGAGGACATCTAGGGATCTGGATATGGACTTATGTCCTATCCTCCTTCCTTGTCCTATATCTTTGTGGCAGATGATTGCTCCTGCTTCTAATAAGACCCTGGCAGGGCAAGGCGAGCTCACCCGAGGAGTAGAGGGACTGCAGAAAAAGCTGGATGAAGAGATGAAGGTGAGGAGAAGTTAGCCTTTTGGGAGGCATGCAGGACCACAGGGAAAACACCTTGGCCTGGGGATTGCTGACACTGGCTTTTGCAAGCAATGGGACAAGTTGTATTACTATATTAGTGTTGACAAGGATTTTGGGGTTTCTGTGGAACTTATTACTCATGTTCCCTGTGTCTCAAGTTCTTCCATCATAAGTAATGCTGGCAGTGACAATGACTGTCATTTACTAAATGTAATTTTTGTAGTAGATACTGTCCCGAGTAATATATAATCATAAAATTGACCCATAAAAAAGGAATTTTGGACTCTTTTCTGATGGGAAAAGTGAAGATCCCAGAAGTTAAATGGATTTACTCTGGTAATGTTTCAGCGAAAGAATTTATGTTTGGGTTTTTTTTTTTAATTGTATTTTTTTTTGTTTGGTCTTTTCTTTTTTGGTACTGGGGATCGAACCCAGGATGTTGCACTTGCTAGGCAAGCGCTTTGCCACTGAGCTACATCCCAGCCCCAAAGAAAGAATTAAAAAAAAAACAAAAACCAACACATAGCTTTAGCTGGGCAACAGTGGCTCATATCTGTAATCCTAAGTACTCAGGATGCTGAGATCTGAGGACTGTGGTTCAGTTAGTCCAGGTGGGAAAATCCGTTAATTCATTTCCATTAACCACCAAAAAGCTGGAAGTAGAGCTGTGGTTCAAGTAGACCACTAGCTTTGAGCAAAAAAGTTCAGGGATGTGCCAGGCCCTAAGTTTAAGCCCCAGGCACCAAAAATAAAAAAAGAAAGAAAAAGAGAAAAAGAATATATCGCTTTCTCTTAAAATTTAAAGGCCCTTTTGTGAAGTTTTTTTGCTGGTCCTGAACTACAGTGTAACTCCCCTCTTTTTTTCTGAGTAGTTTATGGAGATAAGAGTCTCATGGACTTTTCTTCCTAGGCTGGCTCCGAACTTTGATCCTGAGATCTCAGCCTCCTGAATAGACCTGAACCACCAGCTCCCAGCTTGTAAAGTTTTTCACAGTATTGCTTTTCATGTAGTTGGTGCTCATTATAAGTGGCCTCTTGTTTCCAGGAAAGCATAGCAGCCAGGCACCTGTGGCTTATACCTGTAATCCTAGCTACTCATACCTGTAATCCTAGCTACTCAGGAGGCTGAGATCTGAGGATTGTTGTTCAAAGCCAGCCCCGGCAGGAAAGTCCATGAGACCCAATCTCCAATTAAAAAAAAACAAAAAACAAAAAAACACCAGAAAACCGGAAGCAGTGTTGTGGCTCAAGTGGTAGAGCACTAGCCTTGAGCTGAAGAGCTGAGGGACAATGCCCAGGCCCAGAGTTCAAGCCCCATGATGACCAAAAAAAAAAAAAACCAGAAAGCACAGCAATGTAATTGTTAAGTGATGGGCTATAGAACCAAACTAAATAGATTTAGATCTTGATACTTGGCTGTGTAACAACTTGGATAAGTTCTTTAAGTGTTTTAAGCTTCTAGTTCTTTAATTGCAAAGTGGATATAAAAGTACTATTATTTATTTATGGCTGTAAAACTAATCACACTTAGAATTTAGCAGCTTAAAATAAGCATTTCCCAGGATCTGAGGGACAAGAATCTGAGATCAGCTCAGCTGGGAAATTTTGACCCAAGTTAAAAGTTCACACTCACAAGCTTGAGTAGAGATGGAGGATCTGCTTCTTAAATGGTTTAATTAAATGGCTTTGGTTGAAGCTCTCAGTCCTTCAGTGTAAGGACCCCTTCATAGAGGTGCTTTAGTGTCCTCAGAATGAGTGATGTAAGAGAAAAAGTATGAAAGAAAAAATGCAGTGCCTTTTTATGACCTAACATCAGAATTCACATGTCCATTCCTCATTTTTCCATTCTAGCCCACACTCAGAATCGAAAGAAATGCTAATTAATTTCTCCACACATACACACATATATATGTTTTGTTTATTTTTGCCAGTCCTGGGGCTTGAACTCAGAGCCTGGTCATTGTCCATGAGCTTATTTTTGCTCAAGGCTAGCACTCTTATCACTTGAGTCACAGCGCTACTTCCAGCTTTTTCTGATTATGTGGTACTGGGGAATCAGACCCAGGGCTTCATGCATGCTAGGCAAGCACTCTATCACTAAGCCATCTTCCCAGACCTGCACATATTTTTAATAATCCCAAATATCTAGGTTTGTTGTGAGGATTAAATGCCTAAATATGTATGAGGCCCATAGTACAATGTCTATCATAGATCAAGTGTCCAATATGTGTTGGACATTCCTTTTATAGTGGATCTTTTCTGTTTTTTTCTCTACTCTCTACTTGCTATACTCTTTTTCAGAAGCGGCAGAGGCTAGAACCATCCCAGGTTGGGCTGGAGCGGCAACTGGAGGAGAAAGCAGAAGAGTGTAACCGACTGCAGGAGCTCCTAGAAAGAAGGAAAGGGGAAGTCCAGCAGAGCACCAAAGAGTGAGTGCAGTGGATGGCACATGTGGGGCTGTTTGGGGCCCCTGTTTGACCTCTAGGCTGGACCTAGAGGTCACCCTTCCCAGGGTTGAAGGAGACAGGAAATCTCTAGAAGTTTAAAGGGGCAGGGATGGTTCAATCACGGAACCTTTTTCTTTACCTTCTCTCTCTCTCTCTTTTTTTTTTTTTTTTTGGATTGTTGATTGTGGGGCTTGAACTTGGGGCCTGGGCACTGTCCCTGAGATCTTTATGCTCAAGTCTAGTACTCTACCCACTTTGAGCCACAGCTTCACTTCTGGCTTTCTGGTGGTTAATTGGAGATAAGAGTCACACAGACTTTCCTTCCTTTGAACCTCAGTCCTCAGATCTCAGCCTCCTAAGTAGCTAGGATTACAGGTGTGAGCCACCAGCACTCGAGCCCCTTGCCTCTCTGTCAGTAATGTTGATAATGCATGTATTTTAGGCAATGTCTCAGGTTCTTAATCTATAAAATATGTTCATTATGAGGATTTACTTATTTATTTAGCACATGCCTTCCCAATGATGACAGACACTAATCTAAGTTCCTGAGGTACCTCAGTGAGGTAGCCATGCTGATGAAGGGGTCTGCCTTCTGGAAACATAGTAGGCAAACAGTTAGCAAGCATGGTATGTAAGTAAATGTGTAACACATAAGAAGGTGCTGAATAGAGCAGATTAAGACAGATCAAGGGGACTACATTGTTAGAGGATTGCAGTATTATATAAGATAGTCAGGGGAGCTGTCATTAAGATTTAAACAAGGGTTGGGAATGTAGCTCAGTGGTAGAGTGCTTAAATAATACAGACAAGACCTTGGGTTCTATTCCCATAGCAAAAACTAAACCGATGTAACAACAAAATCCAAAACAAATGACAAAAGAGAGGTGAACAAATACCTTTTTTTTTGTCGGTCGTGGGGCTTGAACTCTGGGCTTGGTTGCTGTCCCTCAGCTCTTCAGCTCAAGGCAAGCGCTCTACCGCTTGAGCCACAGCGCCACTTCTGGTTTTCTAGTAGTTTATTGGAGATAAGAGTCTCATGGAGTTTTCTGCCTGGGCTGGCTTTGAACCGTGATCCTCATATCTCAGCCTCTTGAATAGGTAGGATTACAGGCGTGAGCCACCAGGGCCTGGCTGAACAGATACTTTTAAAGGAAGTTTAAATGAACTAATATATGAAAAGTATTTCAAAACTGCCTGACACATAGTGTTCAATAATGTTGCTTATTACCAGGCTCCAGAACATGAAGCTCCTCCTGGACCAGGGTGAAAGGTTACGGCATGGATTGGAGACCCAGGTGAAGGAGCTACAGAACAAGCTAAAACAGGGCCAGAGCCCTGAGCCTGCTAAAGAGGTGCTTCTGAAGGTAGAGTATGGGGTTGTATGGTCTAGTCGTAGCTTCCTTTCAACTGGACCACTCCATGTTTGCTATTCACATGTGCCCCAATGTAGTCTAGCTTATAGCAGGTACTATTTCGTGTGCTTTCAGGAAGACTCAAAGGCAGAGAGAGGTCTCATGGATATGTCTGGACAGGCTTCAAAACCATGATCCTCAGCTAGGTTATAGGCTTGAGCCGCTGGCACCTAACTTCTTATTTTTATTTTTTCAGCTAAATGGATGAATTATTACTAAACAGATGGTTCCTAATATAGTCACCCCTTTTGATCTTTTCCTAGGACCTGGTAGATACCCGGGAACTTCTAGAAGAAGTCTTAGAAGGGAAACAACGAGTAGAGGAGCAGTTGAGGCTGCGAGAACGGGAACTGACCGCCCTGAAGGGGGCTCTGAAGGAGGAGGTGGCTTCGAGGGACCAAGAGGTGGAACATGTCCGGCAGCAGTACCAAAGAGACACAGAGAAACTTCGCCGGAGCATGCAGGATGCATCGCAGGCACGTGACAAAAGCAGGGGCTGGGAGAGGAGGGAGCAGCCTTAAATTATGTTTCAACTTTTCATGGTTGCAACTAGGAACTCTCCTTAAAGGGCATATGTGAGAAGTCGTGAAAATCATGTCCAGGAAATCTACATATTGGGGAAGGGAGAGAGAGAGAGAAAAGGGGAGAGGAAAGGAGAGAGGCGAGGGGAGAAGCGAGAGAGGAGAGAAGAGAGGAGGAACATAGGCCAGAAGGTTATGTGACTAAGTTTTTGTTGTTGTTGTCGGTCGTGGGGCTTGAACTCTGGGCCTGAGCGCTGTCCCTCAGCTCTTCAGCTCAAGGCTAGTGCTCTACCACTTGAGCTACAGTGCCACTTCCGGTTTTCTGGTGGTTTATTGGAGATAAGAGTTTCATGGACTTTCCTGCCCGGGCTGGCTTTGAACCGTGATCCTCAGATCTCAGCCTCCTGAGTAGCTAGGATTACTGGCGTGAGCCACCAGCGCCTGGCTGTGACTAAGTTTTGTCGGGGGAAGTAACTAGGAGAGGCTTCCTATAGATGGTTATGAAGGTGGACTCACTGGCATTGAACCAGGTACCCCCAGGGTTGTCAGAGTGCAGCCAGCATGGTGCCCTTTGAACCTGACCTTCCCCTTGTGCACACTCTCAGATCGCCTTGAAGTGAGCTCTGCCCTGAGCCTGAGCCTTCTGAGCCTGCCTTTCTTTTCCCTAGGACCATGCAGCACTGGAGGCTGAGAGGCAGAAGATGTCAACCCTGGTACTAGAACTTCAGAGGGAGCTAGAAGAGACTTCAGAGGAAACAGGGCATTGGCAGAACATGTTTCAGAAGAACAAAGAAGAGCTGAGAGCCACCAAGCAAGAGTAAGAACTTCATCTTCTCCTGGGAGCACTTATCCATGACTCTTAGATCCTTCTACTTTTCTTTTTCTTTTGTTGAGATACTGTAGGATATTACACTTGTTAGACAGTTTACTTGAGTTATCTCTCCAACTCCCTTTTTCAAAAAAGTTAATTTTATTTTAACTATTAAGGTGTTATACAGAGGGGCTACCATTTCATAAGTGAGGTAATAAGTACTATTTTATTTATTTATTTATTTATTGTCAGTTGTGGAGCTTGAACTCGTGGCCTGGACACTGTCCCTGAGCTCTTTTGCTCAAGGCTAGTGCTCTACCCCTTTGAGCCACAGTGCCACCTCCAGTTTTCTGGTGGCTAATCGAAGATAAGAATCTTACAGGTTTGGAACCACAATCCTCAGATCTCAGCCTTCTAAATAGCTAGGATTACAGGTGTGAACCACCAGCATCTGGCCATTTCTTTTTTTGAACAATGTTATTCCTTCTTTTACTTTCCCCGTTTTCCCCCACCCATCCCTCCCCACAAGTAACATAAGTAATTTTCCACATAGTGTGTACTGCATAGCATGATTGCATTTATTCACTCTTCCTCCCTCCCTTCCCCTCTCAGAAGAAAAAAACCCCAAAGCAAAAACACCAAACACTACCACAGTAACAATAACAAAAACAAAAGCAAAACATGTTCCCATTTCTTGGAGTTCATTTCCATAAATAGTATTTGACATGTTCAGAGGAGTTATACCTTTGTATTCCTTCCCCTAAGGGTATCTTCCTTTAGTCTGATTGTTTGTGTGTGAATGCCTAGAGTCTGTATAAGTTATTATGTCCAGTTATATTTTAGATCTAGCTTCCACATATGCAGCTCTTTTGTGTGTGTGTGTGTGTGTGTGTTGATTAATTTCAAGGAAGGGTCTTGCTATTAAGCAAGGACCAGCCTATGCTTCAGTCTCCTACTTATGATTTCCTATGTCACTGAGTTTAACGAGCACACACCACTATCCAGCCATTGGTTGAGATGGAATCTCATAAACTTTTATGCCTTGGTGGAAAGTGAACTGGGATCCCCTATCTCTACCTCCCAGTTAGCTAGAATTCTAGCCAATCCTCTCTCTCTCTCTCTCTCTCTCTCTCTCTCTCTCTCTCCCCCAGTCCTGGGGTTTGACCTGGGCACTCTCCCTGAGCGTCTTTTTTTTGGGGGGGTCCGGTCGTGGGGAACTCTGGGCCTGGGCGCTGTCCCTCAGCTCTTCAGCTCAAGGGTAGAGCTCTACCACTTGAGTCACAGCGCCACTTCTGGTTTTTTTCTTTTTGCTTATGTGGTGCTGAGGAATCGAACCCAGGGCCTCATGCATGCAAGGCAAGCGCTCTACCACTAAGCCACCTTCCCAGCCCAACTTGAGCATCTTTTGTTCAAGGCTAGCACTCTACCACTTGAGCCACAGTGCCACTTCAGGCCTTTTCTGTTTTATTTGGTACTGAGGAATTGAACCCAGGGCTTCCTGCATGCTAGGCAAGCACTCTACCATTAAGCCACGTTCTCAGCCCTCACCAATCCTTTCTAACATGCTGTGTTCTTCCATTTCCTAAACTGCCTTTCTCCAAATCCACTTTCTTCCTTGAGAGTGGGAGCTCAAGATGGTAGCCTCCGGAGAACTGGTTTACACTGTCAGACAGTGCAAGGCTAGAGTCCTAACCCTGTTCCCTTTCTTCTTTATTTTATCTTGCTGGGCTCAGACTCCTGCAGCTGCGCATGGAGAAGGAGGAGATAGAAGAGGAGCTTGGGGAGAAGATAGAGGTCTTACAAAGGAACTTGGATCAGTCTCGAGGTGGTGGTAGAGATGCTCAACAAGTTGAGGAACTCAAGAAGGTACCTGGCAGTTTGGGAACAGAATGGCAAGTTGGGGTGATAGACACTTGGGTATCTTATCGACAGGGGTCCTCATGCTCATGGGGCCAGCTGCTGGTGCAGACCTTACTGCAGTGTTTTCTTTCCAGCACAATAGAACTGGTTTCCTCATTGGTTCTGGAGGTTTGTAGTGGAAAAGGCTCTCAGTAGCCAGGTTGGGGTAGAGCCAGAGGATGCTGGCAGCCTCCCAAGAGACCTCATGGGGTAGCAGCATTTAGGTGGATTTGTGAAAGTCCAAGGTCATTTTTATAGGCTCAGAAACTTAATTTGGTCAGCATAGCAAAAGCTGCTCTGTCCTTCTAGGGGCGTGGTGGGAGGATTCATTAGCTATGGTTATGATATTAACTATGGGATTTTTGTCTAGAATGCTGGTTTATTAATTTACAATGAGAAATACGATCACGTGGACTGGAATGCTTCTATTGGCATGGCTAGCTGACCTACATGCGAAGCCAGACTGTAATCTGAAGGCTGTTGTAAAGTACACAGTCTAGTCATGGGGAAATAAAAGATCCCTCGCATTTAGTGTGTCCGTCTCCCCAGTCTCCAAGACACAGCCTTGCTGGTGGTTTGGTACCATCCAAAGTTCAGTCAGCTTCCTTTTTTGGTCTTTGTTTTCTTAGTCAATTCTATTTTTTTTTTTTTTTTGTCGGTCCTGGGGCTTGAACTCTGGGCCTGGGCTCTGTCCCTGTGCTCTTCAGCTCAAGGCGAGCACTCTACCACTTGAGCTACAGCGCCACTTCCGGTTTTCTGGTGGTTTGTTGGAGATAGTAGTCTCACGGTCTCTCCTGCCCGGGCTGGCTTTGAACCTCGATCCTCAGATCTCAGCCTCCTGAGTAGCTAGGATTACAGGCGTGAGCCACCAGCGCCTGGCTTATTTTTTTTTTTAACTCATGCCTAGGGTGATGCTTCATGAGTCATAAATGAAAGGTCATAAAATTGATAGGAACATAATTTCTTGATATTCTTAGTGTTTCAGTTTATGAAGGATAAAAAGGCAATGGGTTATTTTTTTATTTTTTGGGTCCAGTCATGGGACCTGAACTCTGGGCCTGGGCGCTGTCCCTCAGCTCTTCGGCTCAAGGTGAGCGCTCTACCACTTGAGCCACAGTGCCACTTCTGGCTTTTTTCTTTTTGCTTATGTGGTGCTGAGGAATCGAACCCAGGGCATCTGGCATGCAAGGCAAGTGCTCTATCACTGAGCACCTTCCCAGCCCTGGCAATGGGTTATTTTTTTGAACAACTTGGATAACTTAGAAAATCCTTTCATTGGGACACTGGCATTTAAGGCTTCCTGAAGATGCATTTATCTCTAATTTCATGGATATACTGTCCTAGACAGGTAGTAGGCACTCAGTTTACAAATATTAGTCAATGCTTGTGTATTATATTTCTACCATAAAACTATCTAATGACAGTGAAAATAATGGTATTTTTATTTTTAACTTTTGTCAGTTGTAGGACTTGAACTCAGGGCCTGGGTGCTGTCCCTGAGCTCTTTTTTTTTAAAGCTAGTACTCTGACTACTTTGAGCTACAGCTCCACTTCCAGTTTTTGAGTGGTTAGTTGGAGATAAGAATTTTATAAGGACTTTTTTGTCCCAGCTGGCTTTGAACCGCAATCCTTACCTTTCTTTCTTTTTTTTTTCTTTTTTTTTTTTTTGGGTCCGGTCGTGGAGCCTGAACTCTGGGCCTGGGCGCTGTCCCTCAGCTCTTCAGCTCAAGGCTAGCGCTCTACCACTTGAGCCACAGCGCCACTTCCGGCATTTTTTCTTTTTGCTTATGTGGTGCTGAGGAATCGAACCCAGAGCCTCAGGCATGCAAGGCAAGCGCTCTACCACTGAGCCAGCTTCCCAGCCCCAGATCTCAAACTCCTGAGTAGCTAGGATTACAGGTGTGAGTCACTGGCGCCTGGCTCATATATTATTATTTTGATATGGCTGTTGATGTGACAGGGTCATACCATGTAGCCTAAGCAGATCTGAAACTCTTCATCCTCTTCTGATCCTCATTAGTGCTGAGATTGCAGGTATATACAACCATGCCTGGTTCTTTTTTTTTTTTTTTGGTAGTAGTAGGATTTGAACTCAGGGCCTAGTGCTTATTAGGCAACTATTCTACCACTTAAGCCATACCCTTACCTTTTTTTCTGCCTTAGTTTATATTTTATAGATAGCTAGTCTTGTCTAGTCTTGTTTTAGCTATAAGTTCATCTACTTGTCTACCTTTCTTTCTTTCTTTCTTCCTTTCTTTCTGTCTATCTCTTTCTTTCTGTCTTTCTTTCTTTCATGCCAGTGCTGGGATTTGAACTCAGGGTTTTGCTCTCACTTGGCTTTTTCACTTAAGGCTGGCAGTCTACCACTTGAGCAACACCTCCTTTTCTTGCTTTTTTTTCTTATCTGGACATAAGAGTCTCACAGATGTTTCTGCCTGGGCTGGCTTTGAACTGTGATCATCAGATCTCAGCCTCCTGAGAAGCCATTGGTGCCTAGCTCTACATAGAATTTCTTAATGATATATTTATTTTATTTTATTTTATTTTTTTGCCATTCCTGGGGCTTGAACTCAGGAAGGGTCTGGGCTCTGTTCCTGAGCTTCTCTGTGTTCAAGGCTAGCTCTCTACCACTTGAGCCACAGCGCTACTTTGCTCTTTTTCTATGTATGTGGTACTGAGGAATACCCAGGGCTTTATGTGTGCTAGGCAAGCTCTCTACCACTAAGCCACATTCCCAGCCTGATGTTATATTTTATTTTATTTATTTTATTTATTTATTTATTTTTGTCGGTCGTGGGGCTTGAACTCTGGGCCTGGGCGCTGTCCCTCAGCTCTTCAGCTCAAGGCGAGCGCTCTACCACTTGAGCTACAGCGCCACTTCCGGTTTTCTGGTGTTTTATTGGAGATAGGAGTCTCACGGTCTCTCCTGCCCGGGCTGGCTTTGAACTGCGATCCTCAGATCTCAGCCTCCTGAGTAGCTAGGATTACAGGCGTGAGCCACCAGCGCCCGGCAGATGATGTTATATTTTATAAACTATGAAATTCCTCCTTTAAAAGTAGACAAGCCAGGCTGGGTGCTGGTGACTCACACCTGTAATTCTAGCTACTAAGGAAGCTGAGATCTGAGGATCATGGTTCAAAGCCAGCCCAGGCAGGAAAGTCCATGAGACTCTTACTTCTAATAAACTACCAGAAAACCAGAAGTGGTGCTGTGCTTCAACTGGTAGAGTGCTTGCCTTGAACTGAAGAGCTGAGCGAGAGTGCCCAGGCCCAGAGTTCAAACCCTATGACTGACTCCTTCCCCCCCCCCCCAAAAAAAAGGACAAGCCAGTTGTTTTCTTAGTGTATACATTCTAAGTTGTGAAACTGCCACCACTATCTACTTATAAAATATTTTAATCACCCAAACCAGATATGCTATGACCATTAGTAGTCATTCTTTGAACCACTGGCACCAGTAGTCAACCTGCTATCTCTCTGGATTTGCCTCTTCTGGCTATTTCATACAATTGTAATCCTACAGTAAGAGGTCTTTCATTTCTGGCTTTTTATTTTTATTTCTTATTTTTTACCTGACATCATGTTTTCAGGGCTCAACCATGTGGAAACAAATATCTTTTCCCTTTTCTAAGGATGCATAATGTTCTACTCTTTTTTTTTTTTTTTGTCGGTCATGGGGCTTGAACTCTGGGCTTGGGCGCTGTCCTTGTGCTCTTCAGCTCAAGGCGAGCGCTCTACCACTTGAGCCACAGCACCACTTCCGGTTTTCTAGCGGTTTATTGGAGATAAGAGTCTCACCAACTTTCCTGCCCGGGCTGGCTTTGAACGGTGATCCTCAGATCTCAGCCTCCTGAGTAGCTAGGATTACAGGCGTGAGCCACCGGCGCCCGGCTTTGTGTTCAACTTCTGGCTAAACTGCCAGATTGCTTTCCAAAGTGGCTACATCATTTATGCCCTGATTCACAATGTGTGAGAATTTCACTTTTTCCACTTTCTAGAGTCTCATTCTTGCTGTGATGGTCTCCCCATCACCATTTTCCCTCCCATCTAGGAGCTGCACCGGACAAAGGAGGAGGTTAAGGAGCTCCAGGCAGAACTACAGAGCCAGGAGATGTCTGGGCGACACAGGGACCGGGAGCTGGAGAAGCAGCTGGTTGTCCTGAGAGTGGAGGCTGATCGAGGCCGAGAACTGGAACAGCAGAATCTCCAGCTGCAGAAAACCATCCAGCAACTGAGACTCGACTGTGAAGAGGCTTCCAAGGCAAGGGGAGTGGGCCCAGGGCTTAGGAGGTGGAGGCTGAGGTAGGGCTGAGAAGCCAGAGGGCATGGAAAGTTACCTATGATGGGTATGTACCAATCAGCCCTGTGGCTTTAGGTGTGTGGTGAAAAGCATGATTTGGCAGTGGAGGCTATTGTACCTGGTGATACCTATTGCCTTTGTGTAGGGGTGAGATTCTCAGTGGAGCCCCTGGCTGGGGCTATCCTTCTCTAATTAAACCTGGCTCTGGTGGGCTCTGAGGCCTCCTGGTCTGAGCGGCTGCTCCCAACTGCCCGCAGGCCAAGCTGGCCGCCAAGGCAGAGGCTGAAATGTTGGGGCAGCGACGGGCAGCAGTGGAGACCACGCTTCGGGAGACCCAGGAGGAAAATGATGAATTCCGACGACACATCCTGGGTCTGGAGCAGCAGCTAAAGGAGTCAAGAGGCCTGGCGGAGGGGGGGGAAGTGGTGGAGGCTCGACTTCGGGAGAAGGTGCAGCGGCTGGAGGTCAGTGCATCTGCCCCCAGGGTTGGCCTCCTTGCAGGCCTCTCTATCTGTAGCCTTGGCCAAGTTAACTCCTTTGCTAAACAGTCAGCCATCAGTTTTCAGTTGCTGGTACTGTGTTTCTTTTTCTTTTGCCTTCCAAATCCTCTGTTAACCTTGGGTTTATTTCCTGGAGTGCACTTTGGTGTGAATGTTTCAGACTTTACACTAGTATTTTTGTCTCCTATGTCCCACCCCTTGCTTGCTCTCCAAGGTCTTAATGTCTTTTGCTGATTCCTCTGAGTCTTATTTTCACTGCTCACTTTTGAATAAATACCTTCTTCCCCACCCCTCCCATTTATCTACCTCCAAATGCCTTAAGCCCAAGCTTTGCCTTTGACCAGCTTCCTCACATCTCCCTTCTCTCCTCTCCCCTCTCCCAGGCAGAGAAACAACGGCTACAAGAGGCACTAAATGTATCCCAGGAGGAGGAGGGGAGTCTGGCAGCTTCTAAGCGCGCACTGGAGATCCGACTAGATGAGGCCCAGCGGGGGCTGTTGCGCATGGGGCAGGAACAGCAGGCCCTGAACCGGGCCCTGGAGGAAGAAGGGAAGCAGCGGGAGGCACTTCGCAGGAGCAAGGCAGAGTTGGAGGAGCAGAAGCGTTTGCTAGACAGGACTGTGGACAGACTCAACAAAGAGGTGGGCCTGGGAGTCTCAGGCCTTTATAAAAACTCACACAGAAGCTGGCCTGTGGGCTGGATTTGGGCTGGGGTCAGGATGTGTACTATCTGCTCTTCTCAAGTACAAGATGGGCAAGACCACGGTCTAACCTTCCTAAAGTATGTCCTTACCTCCCCTCTGTGTTCTTGGTGCCTTTGTTCGTGTGTGTGTGTGTGTGTGTGTGTGTGTGTATGTGTGTGTGTGTGTGTGTGTATGCTGATACTGGTGCTTGAACTCAGGGCCTGGGTACTGTCCCTTAGCCTTTTCACTCAAGGCTGGTGTTCTACTACTTGAGCCTCTTCTGCCCTTTTGATGACTAATTGTAGATGAGAGTCTCATGGACTTCCCAGTCCCAGCTGGCTTCAAACTACAATCCCTCCTATCAGCTTCCTGAAGAGCTAGGATTACAGACTTGAACCACCAGTGCCCAGCCCATTCTATTTCTTTATGGCCTTCATTCTTGCAGAATAGTCCTGGGATTCCTTTTTAGAAGTCTATAAGACCTATACAGAAAAATCTTCTCTTTAGAAGAGTTTTAAATTGAAAGGGGGGCAAGGAGAAAGAGGGATAAAGGAATCAGTTGCCTTTTGCTGGTAAGGTTCTCCTAATTTTTTAACCTTATAAAACCAAACACCCAATGTTTGTGTTATTACTTATCAATTCAGAAAAAAGTACATATTTTGTCATCTCTGAGATTGGATTGTATCTGAAAATTGATGGTATGCCATAGTTCAGTTGTCAGAGGTTTTTCTCTTAGTGGTACGGCTGAAAGTCATTGGCACCTTGGGTTTGTGGAGTATAGTCATTGAAGGTTTACTTTATAACAGACACTGTTGAATTATTCTATCCAGCTAATACAATTCTCATAACAACTGGCTATTGTAGATACTATTACTGTCATCCTATTTTATAGATGGGGATTGAGACCCAGTGTTAGTAAATATCTTGGCATTGGGTCAGTAGTAAGTGCCAGGATTTGAGCCCAGAATTTACATATAAGTACTAGCCATACTAGGAAACCAGGCCTGGAAAGAGCAAAAGAAGGTTTCCTGGCAGGACAGAGGCTTCTGGGAGAGCCTTAGGACCTGGACCTAGAGAAGGGGCAGAACAGCTGTTAAAGATTGTTAAAAAAACAGCTAAATGCTGTTGGGTCACTCCTGTAATCCTAGCTACTCAGGAGCAGGCTGAGATCTGAGGATCACAATTCAAAGCCAGCCCAGGCAGGGAAGTCCATGAGACTCTTATCTTCAATTAATCATACAAAAAATACAAAAAGGAGCTCAGGGACAGTGTATAGGCCCAGAGTTCAAGCCCCAGGACTGGCAAAAAAAAAAAAAAAATGCTGAAAACTTTTTTTCCTGCACTTTAGCTGGAGCAGATTGGAGATGACTCTAAGCAAGCGCTGCAACAGCTTCAGACCCAGATGGAAGATTACAAGGAAAAGGCCCGGCGGGAAGTGGCAGATGCCCAGCGCCAAGCCAAAGATTGGGCTAGTGAGGCTGAAAAGAACTCTGGGGGACTGAGCCGGCTACAAGATGAGGTAGGAGTCTAGATGGCAAGAGGATAAGAACCATCCAGGAGTCTTGAATTGGAAGATCTTTGCCTGTTAACTGAGCCTCTGGGCCTGGCATCCTGAGGCCTGGACTTAGGTATCAATTTTTACAGTGGCATACTAAGGTGGGGGAGGGGAAGGGAATCACCTGTCCTCCAGAGAGTGTAATGTCTGTAGAGCAGTGGCTTTCAAACTCTGTTGCCAATTAGAGTCAGCTGAGGCGGTCTGGCAAAGTCTCAGGGTCCCCAAAATGTATTCTATATTACTTAGTCATTCATCTCTAGTGGTGACACCCAGGATCAGAATTTTTAAAACCTCCTCAACTAGCTAGGCACAGTGACATTGATCTGTAAGAATAGAGCTATTTGGATGGCTGAGGCAAGAAAATCACTTGATTCTTGTTTTTGTTTTTGGCTTGAAATTAGGATCTAGGCACTGACCTTTAGCTTTTTTACTCAAGGCTAGTACTCTTACTACTTAAGCCGCAGCTGGACTTTTGGCTTTTGGCTGGTTAAGGTGATAAACACCTCATGCGTTTTCCTGCCCAGGTTGGTTTTGAACCATGATCCTCAGATCTCAGCCTCCTGAGTAGCTAGGATTACAGGCATGAGCCACTAATGCCCAGAAATTGTTTGAGGTTTTAGCAACAGCCTGGGCAACACAGACCACTTACAAAGAAAACCTCCAGCCAGGTGCGGGTGGCTCATGCCTGTAATCCTAGCTACTCAGGAGGCTGAGATCTGAGGATCGTGGTTCAAAGCCAGCCCGGGCAAGAAAATCCGTGAGACTCTGATCTCCAATAAACCACTAGAAAATCGGAAGTGGTGCTGTGGCTCAAGTGGTAGAGCACTCGCCTTGAGCTGAAGAGTGCAGAGACAGTGCCCAGGCCCAGAGTTCAAACCCCACAACCAACTAAAAGAAAAAAAAAAAAAAGAAAACCTCAAATGACTTAAGAAAGTTTTAAGACAAAAGGGAGTGAAAATCAGTCATAATATCACTCTGAGAGAGCAGTTCTAAAGAATGTCAGTGGCTGGAGCTGGTAGCTGATGCCTATAATCCTAGCTACTCAGGAGGTTGAGATCTGAGCATGGTTTGAAGCCAGACCAAGCAGGAAAGTCCATGAGACTCTTACTTCCAATGAACCACCAGAAAGCCAGAAGTATTGCTGTGGCTCAAAGTGGTAGAGCCCTAGCCTTGAGCATAAAGACCTCAGGGATAGTGCCCAGGCCCTGAGTTCAAGCCCCACAACCACCACTACCACCAACAAAAAGAATGTCAGTTATAGGATACTTCTCCTGGCAATGCATAGTATCCTACTCTTCACCTCCACACCTTATACTACTCTGAGCCGCTGCATGTTTTCCTCTTGTCCAGACCCAGAGACTGCGGCATGCCCTGCAAACATCTCAGGCAGAACGGGACACAGCCCGGCTGGACAGAGAGCTGATGGCCCAGCGATTGCAGGGGCTGGAGCAAGAAGCAGAGAACAGGAAGCGCTCCCAGGATGATAAGATTCGGCAACTGAAGAGCCTCGAGGTGAGAACACTGTGGGTGGTTTTTGGGGAATGAGTCTGGGCCTGGGTCCTGGCACAGGTGGCATGTCTATAGGGAAAGGAACCAAGCTTCTTCTTCATTAGCTTATGAACATTTGGATCATTTCTTTTCTTTTTTGGTCAGTCGTGGGGCTTGAACTCTGGGCCTGGGTGCTGTCCCTACGCTCTCCAGCTCAAGGCAAGTGCTCTACCGCTTGAGCTACAGCACCACTTTCAGTTTTTTAGTGGTTTATTGGAGATCAGAGTCTCATGGACTTTCCTGCCTGGACTGGCTTTGAACCATGATCCTCAGATCTCAGCCTCCTGAGTAGCTAGGATTATAGGCATGAGCCACCAGTGCCCGGCTGCAAGTCTGTAGTTTTTGAGCCTCTTCATGGTACTTCCTAGCTGAAATGTATTCCCTCAATCTGCACTCTGGTGCTTCTGTGTCTGAGTCTTTCCATCTTGTTCTCAGTTTAGGAAGTTGGGTTTCTTTCTTAGTTTTTCCTTTGGGGAATTTGAATCCCCCAGTGAGGAATGGATTCTGAGGTTTCCCTCATGATGACCATGCATGAACACAGCAAGTCCGACTTCATCTCCTGATATCACACCTGGCCAGCAGAGGGCGCTGGTTCCATGGTGCTTCTGGTAGGGATGGGAACCAAAAAGTTCCTGGAACATATAAGAGAGAAAATTCTTTTTTTTTTTGGGTCCGGTCGTGGGGCCTGAACTCTGGGCCTGGGCGCTGTCCCTGAGCCCTTCAGCTCAAGGCTAGCACTCTAACACTTGAGCCATAGCGCCACTTCCGGCTTTTTTCTTTTTGCTTATGTGGTGCTGAGGAATCAAACCCAGGGCCTCATGCATGCAAGGCAAGCGCTCTACCACTGAGCCACCTTCCCAGCCCAAGAGAGGAAATTCTATGGAGTTTGAGAAAGTACTGCTCTGAATTTGGCAATCCAGAATTTGGGGAAGAATTTTATCCGTCTGCCATAGGAAAAAGTCTCCCGGCTGGAAGCAGAGTTAGATGAAGAGAAGAACACTGTGGAGCTGCTAACGGACCGGGTGAATCGTAGTCGGGACCAGGTGAGTCTTCTTTACCTTTCATTATATCTGCCCTGTGTAACGTATAGGCCCCCTTGAAGACAATTCTTCCCTCCCATCTGTTGTGATCTGGAGAGTTCTAGATGTAGAGTCTGTATATAGCTGAGTCCACTTTAAGGTCTCCTGTACTTCTGGAAGAATTGGAAGGTTTCTTGAGGTGGAAAGATGCCAAGAATTTAAGTGGAAGAAGGAGTGGCCTGGGTTATTTTGACCTGAGTCAGAGTTGTTTTGGTTCAAGAGGGCTGCTGGTTGCTGGTGGAAGTAAAGAAACAGTTTCAGTCCCATGGCTCCTTCCATTTATAGATAACCATTTCTTAGTTGCCTGGGAATTTTTAAGATTCAGTGTTCAGAGATCGATTTCCAGGACCCTGTCCTACTTGATTCAGCTTGCTGGTTCACCTCTGCCAGGTCTAGCTCCTTCTTATATTTCCACTAGATGGATCAGCTAAGGACAGAGCTCATGCAGGAGAGGTCTACTCGGCAAGACTTGGAATGTGACAAAATCTCCTTGGAGAGACAGGTGAAAGGAAGGGGAATCTTGAAGGTGGACCCCAGATGGTGAGTAGAAGACCTACTGGAATGCTAACCATGGAAGCTTTCTATCTCAGAACAAGGACTTGAAGACCCGGTTGGCCAGCACAGAAGGCTTCCAGAAGCCCAATGCCAATCTCTCCCAGCTTGAATCTCAGAATCAGTTGTTGCAAGAGAAGCTACAAGCTGAAGAGAGGTAATTAGAGCTTCTTCTCTCCTTCCCTTCTTCCCTCTCAGTTTTATTCCTTCTGCCTTATAATCTAGCCAACCTGGCTTCATCTTCAGGGAGTCTTTTTTTCTTCTGATTCAGAACAGATTGTTGCAGAAACTCTGAGATGTGAATTCTTTCTCTCTGGTTCTTTAGATTTTCCATGGATGCTTCCTAATATACCGATGGAGTTCATGACTGAGAAAATGCTTAAGAGGCAGTAAGGGACGAAGTAAAGTTTCTTTCTTTTTCACTCTGTTAGGGAGAAGACAGTTCTACAGTCCACCAACCGAAAACTGGAGAGGAGAGTTAAAGAGTTGACAATCCAAATTGATGATGAGCGGCAGCATGTCAATGACCAGAAAGATCAGGTGAGGCCAAGCAATTGCAGCACAGGTATGTATTATGCATTTCCCTGAAGATCATAGAAGACCTGGATCTCTCATAGGTCTTCCAAACTTTGGATTTCCTTATAGAAAGTCAAAGCTTGGATTGAAGGGACTAGAAGAGTCATAGCTTATATATTGGGTACTATTTTCTCTAAGTGTTATATCTGAATTCATTTAATTTCCAAAACAACCTTCTGAGGCAAGGAAATTTGCTCATAGTCACAAATTTTTTTCCAGGGGCAATTATCCTTTATCATCATTGTTACAGGTGAGGTCCCAGGTAGTGGTAGCAGTTGCTTTTCTAATGTGGGCACTTGGTATCCTTAGTTAAGCCTGAGGGTGAAGGCTTTGAAGCGGCAGGTAGATGAAGCAGAAGAGGAAATTGAGCGACTGGATGGTTTGAGGAAGAAGGCACAGCGTGAGCTGGAGGAGCAGCAGGAGGTCAACGAACAGCTCCATACTCGGATCAAATCCCTGGAAAAGGACTCCTGGTATGGATTGCCCCTCTGTGCTTTGCTCTATGAGATCAATAGAACAGGAAATGAATGGTGCTTCCTGAGCTGGAGAAGGAGGAGATTCTCTAAGATGTTATTCTCCTTGGATTCATTGCATGTGCATGTGTGGTCATACCTTCCAGCCTGGTAGCCAGTATGATTATTTCTTAGCATCTCAGCCGCCATCCTCTACCTCATCTCGCTAGATCTCTGATTGGTGGGGTAATCTTGTGAATGGCCCTAGGCCCTAGAAGAATTAATTCCTTAGTATGAATCTATTCTCAATCTATTCCCCCTCATTTACCAGTATTTTCTCTGACTCAGGCGCAAAACTTCCCGCTCAGTGGCTGAATCAGCCCTCAAGCACGAGGGACTGAGCTCTGATGAGGAATTTGACAGCGTCTACGACCCTTCATCTATCGCATCATTGCTTACAGAGAGCAACCTGCAGACCAGCTCCTGTTAACTTGTAGTCTTCAGAGGTCCAAAATCAGTCTTGAAGCCTATCCAGACAGCCCTACTCTGCCTTACTTTGGTCTGATTGCCATGGATTCCTCTTTCCTGTGGGTGATCCTGTTATTCAGACCTAAAACAGGGGGAGATCTGGGTGAAGTTGATGGATGGACTTGGCCTTTCCAGTGGAGGAGTAGGTATTTTAGGCCTGCTGAGCTCTTCCTGTTGATGCTGACTCCTTCTTCATCTCCCTTATTGTGGAAGAATGGGCAACAGCAGATTGAGGGGGGCTGTGAAGGATAAAAGAAGATGGAAATTGCCATGTATATAAAGCTTTATTTCTTTAGCCCTTAATCCTACAGCTCAGGGAAATACCCAATGCTATTCTGCTCCTTGGATTCCCACAATTTATTTTCCTTCCATTCTGGAGCAAGGTAAAGGGAACGTTATGGGTAATGAACACGCAGGCGTGGTTCTGCCCACTTCTTATATGCTTCTCTTTGCACAGTCATGGGGGCCCATATGGTAGTCCCTACACATCTCCAGTCCCTACATTTTTGTCTTCTCTAAGCCAGTGGGACCAGGGGACCCTGCATCCTCTCCCTTTCCCATCTTGCTTCTTTCCTTTCAGTGCCTTAGCCAGGGTGAGGAGATAAGGATGCTCTTCTTGCCTTTTATACCTACACATTCATACCTCTCCAAAGATCAGCCTTCCCCCAACTGGGGTCCTCAGCCTGCCCTACTTCCCCAGTGTCTGGTCCAGAGACTATTCTGCCAAGGGGCTCCTGGGAGGGGGACTTTGGTAGAGCCATGGTAAGGTGGTTCTGCTCAGGGTTTCCGTTTTTCCTTTTGCTATTCTGGATGTGGGTTATAAGGAACTGCACCTGGGAACTCTAGCAACTGTCTATACAGGTTTCAAAAGCCAAGGACTCAGTCTTTATAGTCTTCCTTCTGGCTTCTCTGACCAGATGTACCTAGCCTCAGTAGAAAACCAATGGAGCCTCCTTTTCTCAGGAATGGGTCCCAACTCAATGCTTTGGCTAGAGTTGGAGCTGCCTCTGCAGAAATAGGAAGAGGCAATGGAGAATTTACTTCTTGGATTTTAGGGCAAGTTAGGTCCGGAGGAGGGGGTAAGGGGGGATTATTAACCATGTGTGTCCCAAGAAAGTTCTGTAGGGAACCTGCAGAAGAAGGCTCTTCTCACCAATGATTTGTAATTTCATGATTAAAAAAGAAAACCTATATTTCACAAATCAGGCATTTTCTCCCATCTAATCCAGCCTTGGTTTAAATTAAATATTAAAATTATATACCATATGGAATCATTGTCATCTTTTTCCTGGCTTATTTGAAGGTGTAAGATTTGGGAAGAAGCTCTTTTAGTTTAACTATACAGCTTTTGGAGGTTTCATTCATTTTTTAAAGAGGTCCTTTAGAGCAGATCAAAATTGGAAGTGTATATAGCAGCTCCATTTTTCCTTTTTTTCCCCCAATTGCATTTGGCATTCTACCACTTGAGCCACACCCCCACTTCTTTTTGCTGGCTTATTGGAGATGAGAATTTCAAGGATTTGTCTAACTGGACTGACTTCAAATCTTGATTCTCAGATCTCAGTTTCCTGAGTGGCTAGGATTTTACAGGCATGCACCACTGTTACTTCATTTTCTCCTAAACTATTTTCTGGGAATATAGCAAGGCCAGAAAACTGCCTCCTTTGAGAGCTATAGGGGAACGGTCCAGAACTGTGTTTTATTTCCTGAGGTCATAAAGATATCCCCAGTATTTACCTCCCAGGCAAAAAAAATTGCATCACTGCTCCTTGCCTTTGCTGGCTTGAAGAGACAGCTAACTGTTCACCAAACCTAGCACCCACTCAAGAATGAAGCCAGACTTCTGATATATTCTGCCTTCTGCCCAGGCAGCTCATAGTGGCTATTCCACTGGCCAGAACAGCTAAGCTGGGAAGAAACTCCAGGATCCCAGTGAGCAATTCCCTCTCTTCTCTGCATTCAAGATCTCAGCCCTAAGCCTTCGGATCAAGGGCCATTGTCAAAGTTACGAATCATTCTTGGTCTAGAATACAAATTCCTTTTAAGGTGATGTGTCCCGCCTCTCCCCACCAAATAAGGGTAGCTTTGGTATAATAGCTTCTGCAAAACAAGCCCCACCCAGAGCTGGCTTTGACTTTGGCCTGGGCGCCTTGCCAGGGAAGGGCACCTTGCCAGGGAAGGGCACCTGTCAGACTGGCTTAGGTTAGTCTGAATGAGCTGGCCCATAGTGCTTGCCTTTTTAAATCATAGAGCAAAGATTTACTCAGCTCTACAAAGCCTACAGGCTGATTTACCTATAACAGGCAAGTGCCTGAAAGTGTGTGCAGGCCTCAATTCCTCAGCTACAGGAAGAACAAATAGGGCAAATTCCCTCTAACCCACACTGAGAGTTGGAAGGAGGTAAGATTAATAAAGAATGTGGAAGCTAGGCGTCAGTGGCTCAAGGCTGTAATCTTAGCTATTCAGGAAGCTGGAATCTGAGGATCACAGTTCGAAGCCAGACGGGGCAGGAAAGTCCATGAGACTCTTATCTCCAATAAACTACAAAAAAAAAAAAAAAAGCTGAAGTGTCATTGTGGCTCAGGCCCTGAGGTGCCTACAAGCTTTGAGTTTAAGCCCCAGGACTAGCACAAAAAAAAAAGTATATTAAAGCACCACCAGAAGCCTAGAAAAAAACTGTTCAGTTAAGCAGCCCCACTTCACTCCTAAGCCCCACCTTTATGTAAATTTTAACCAGCGCAAATGGGGCGTGCCCGGAAGCCTCCTGACACCGCCCACTTGGTCCTTTCCTTCGTCTTCGTTGGCGAACAGCATGTGGTGGGCGTGGCTAACGTTCGCTCACGCCCCCGACGCGCCTATACCTGGGGGAGGTTCCGCGTGCGGCCGCCCAGTAGGAACCGGACAGCCGAGCGAAGGGGTGGCTTGTGCGCTGTGACCCCCGCGGGAAGATGAACGGAACGCGGAACTGGTGTACCCTGGTGGACGTGCACCCCGAAGGCCAGACCGTGGTAAGGAAACGTGCCCACGCCGCCTTTCCCCGCTTGGGCATTCTCGGATTCCGATTCCACTGCTCCGGTTTCCCCGCGCCGAGTTCACTGACATTTACCTGGAGCCTGGCTTCGGGGAGCTCCCGCGGCACTTTCTTTTCTCTTGTCCTGAGGCGGTTAGTGGAGGCTCGGGGTGGGGCTGGGGGGTTCTTGGGGCTCCAGGTCTGGGGATGTTCCTGCCCTTTGGGGGGGGGGACGCTGCAGCTGCCGCCGGAGACTCGGCGCGGGCGAGACCCGGGCTGGGGCCACACGCCTGGGCGCGCCTGACTCAGGCGACCCGTGGGCAGCCAGACTGGGTCGTTGGAGAAGGAGCTCCAGAGACGGGATCCCGGCGCTCTGTTGGACCTCGTGGGGGTGGAATAAGCTTTTCCGTGGGTCCTGGTGACCTCAGAGGCCCCTCGATGAATTTTCTGGTGCTTCAGGTGTTCAGTACGGGGCAAAGGTTGTAAAGGGTGAAATCCTAGTAGGTGGAATCGCAGCTGGGGGCGGTAGGGCTCACATTACTGGGAGGATGGTCTGGGACTCTTAACCTTTAAATGCTAAGAAGGACAGGGCCTTCCACCCGGTGGTCGCCTCTCGGATTTCTCCATACCCCTTGCTATTCTGCTCCTCTCGCTCTGCTGGCCCACCGATCGCTTCCCGGGACAGTTTTCTTGGTGTTGATTCCATCCAGTGCAAATGGATGTAGGGAATCTCTCAGAACCCTGGCTGAGAGAAGGGAAGGGACGTGGACCTCAGAAGGGAAATTTCTGATTAAGGGAAGATTGAAGAGAGAGGGAGTGTTCTTCACTGCAAGCAAGTCTGCCTTGTTTCCCTCAGTCTCTGACTTCCTGCCCCAAAGTTGACCATATGCTCTCCAGTGGCAAAGGTACTTTATGGCTGAGTGTTTTCTAGGCCTGGAATCAAACCCAGCACAGGTGTGTAGTGTATCATCAATAGGCAAGAGTGAAATGGGAGCCAAAGTGATGGGGAGTTTGTATGCTCCCCCCATTTGATTCTCTTCTGCCTGTCTCAGCATGCCACTTGCGGTAGAACTTAATCCAGCTTTCTTCAAAGAGTTTTTGTAGAATAGGTGCTTATTTGAAGTTTAGAGTACAGAAGATCATTTAATTTTGTTAACAGTTTCCTCACCATTTATGCCACATTGCAAGTCTTGCTACTGTCCAACCCTAGTAGGGCAACAGCACTCTCTTTTCTTTCCCAGCTATGGGATGCTGAAGAAATAGGGAGAAAAAAAAAATTCCAGCCCCAAGTCCTAGTCCATACTCTTGCTGTTTTAAAATGGTTTGAGGAAGAGCAAGGAGTGTGAAATAAATGGAGAGGGGTGTTTGGCATCATTTTACTTATAGAATAGGGATCCAGAAAGAAGTCTACTACCATGACATTGAAAACATTGAGAATGAATCTTGCTCCTTAATGTTTGCTGGGCATAAAGAATAGGTGGGAAAACAGTAAACAAGGAATTCCGAATAACCATAGATAAATTTGAAGCTAACCAGAAGCCTCTGTAGCAAATGGGGCTGCCCTAAATTCCCTTTATTCCCTTTTGTTCCTTTTGTCTAGGATGAACTTATGCTGGGAATGAAGTAGTCATTGCCCAGGTCTAGATCCTGGAGACATTTCTGGGCTCTTAAAGAAGGGGAGGAGGAGATGATAAACAATCTATCAGTCAGGAGACAGGCTTTGTCTTGGATTCCTCTCCTCTGAGCCAGCATGCATATAGAATTTATGGCTCTGGACAGTCCCCAGGAACCTGCCATATATTCATACCATCAAAAAGTGTTCAGCACATGTGCAAAGTGAATGAATAAATGAACAGACATTTTTTTTCTCTCTCCTGGAATTGGCAGTGTAGACAATTGGTATCCCAGTCTACTGATTCAGGACCCTGGGACCCTGTTAATGTTTGTCCATGAGTGGGCTGTGTGCCTTAGTCACACATTGATATGGAAATATGGCTAGTACACACCTCGGGTTGTTTTTATTGTTGGAATTAGATGTAACTGCTACAAGAAGTCAGTGTTTTTGAAAACTGCACACCATAACCACTAGTGGGTCTGAAATCAATGTAGTGGGAGTAAGAACAGCATTTAAAAAAAATAGAAGCTGGGCGCCAGTGGCTCACGCCTGAGTAGCCTCTAGCCATTCAGGAGGCTGAGATCTGAGGATCGCGGTTCAAAGCCAGCCTGGGCTGCAAATTTTGTGAGACTCTTATCTCTAATAAACCATTAGAAAACCGGAAATGGTGCTGTGGCTCCAATGATGAGTGCTCGCCTTGAGCTGAAGACACAGGGACAGCACCCAAGCCCAGAGCTCAAGCCCACAACCAATCAAAAATAAATAAATAAATAAAAATAAATAAATAGAATTCACATTCTCAAAGTGTTAGGTGAGGGGAGACTTTTTTAGCAGGACTTTTCTTTCAAATCTATATGTTTACATATGTATATGTATATATGTGATATCTATGATGGGAAAAATGTATATTTTTGCAAGTCCCTTTGGTTACATTGCACATAAAATACAAATAAACCTCAAACCCATTTTTATTAGACATCTTCATGAATTTCCTTTGGTTATAATAGCAGTTAACAAATTCCTACTGTGAGACATAATTTCTTACAAGGAAATGGGGCAGTGTACAAACTTTAAGGGAAAACTTTAAAAGTCGAAACCGAGGAAATCCAGAGTCCTGAGACTTTAAGTAAGTAAGTACAAAGAACTAATGGGAACTTTTTTATTTCTGGGTGAATTGGATCTATGTATTTAGATCTTTTGCCACCAAGATTCCAGGAAGAGGATACCACTGTTCCCTTACATCCCTACCGCTCTGACTGGGAATAGGACAGAGTTTCTTGATTGATAGACATACAAGATTAGATTAACCAACCACTTGAGGGATACTCTCCAGAACAAAAACAATTATTCTTACTAGTGGAGGATAGTAGAAGCTATGTGGTTAAAGAACAAATGTCCATGGCATTAGACTTTGGCATGGCGAATCTCCCTCCCTCCCTCCTTCCTCCTCCTCTTCTCTCCTCTTCTTCTTTTCAAGATATTTTTAATATATATTTTATATATAGCTGGGTATTGGTGGCTCATGTTTGTAATCCTAGCGGCTGAGGAGGCTGAGTTTAAGGATTGTGGTCCAAAGCCAGTCTGGGCACAAAAGTCTGTGGACTCTTATCTCCAATTAACCACCAGAAAACTGGAAGTG